CGCCTCATTTCCGTCAAGCGCATCGACCGAATGTGGATGAGGCTCACCTACTCGAGTACATAAAAATAGCTTACAAGTTAGGTTGCTGCAGAATGTTTTCTGTGTAATTTGACTAAGACCGACTTCATTTTAACAGCAATAATGCTCCGATATTATTGGCAATATCTAAGCAATAATTTCAGATGTAAAAGTCTTTTGTAAGAATTAAAAGGAGAACCTGAAAACAATATTTTGTTGATCACTCTAACATAAATTGTGTCAACTTCACTCAATGTTGTTATTTTGTTTTTGATGGTTTTGGTGGACGGGAAGATGAGATGACACTGGTTTGTTAAAAATACAACTCCAAGTGCTATAACTCATAAAAACTGTAAACTTTTCTTCTTTCTTAGGAGCTGTCGTGCCACTGCATACCGCTGTCTTGTGCGATGGATATTTGGGCCCCTTGGTTGGAACAACTCTAAACCACTTCCTGCCTGTATAATTATACAATAGAATTAGGCAGAAGTATCAGACTGCCTCCAACAGAGTTTACATCACTGCAGAGCAAAGGAAAAATTAAGCAACAAAGTTAAAACTCTGTACAACAACGGCTCTTTTAGGAGCCACCACATTTTACAGAAGTCATGACCTCCGTGCGTTCAAGTTGTTGATCTTTTATTTTCCAATGCTACATACCACATACAAGATCCCTGTCACAGTACATGTATCTGTTGTGACAAGTGTAAATATAGTACAATTTATTTTTTAGTCTCAACATTTGGCCATGATAAACACAAACAAAATTTATTTACTAAAGTTTCTTTTGATATCCAATCACAATGTCTGTATGTTCATCGACTGGCATATGTGTTTTAGGTGGTCCGAGCACTAGAACAGCTTCCTCTTGCAAGGTTTTTCATTGGCAGCTTGCACTTTCTGCATGTAGATGTTTTTCTTTTCTTCTTGGCAGGCTGTTGGTTAGCATGGGTGCTTGATGCCTGAAGTTCACTCAGAATTTCAGCTGCAAGTAGAATATGTTATTTAATGAAGGAAAAAAAAAAGCAAATTTCTTGTTGATATAGTGTTCTTTTGATAGATGGTGCAATATTAATGCCTTCCAGATTCAGGGTTGTATTTAAGAGGCAGGAGCCTGGGATTCCTCCAGGCTTCTATAGTATGAAGTTGGCCTCTGGCTACTTGTATAGGAAAAAAGAAAATTAATAGAACCAAAGGAAACCCCAAGCTGTTTGATTCTCTGCATAATTGTTGTATTTATCCTGCAACTTGAAATTTTAGTGGCAGCCCCATTGAATTACATACCTGAGCTTGCCAACCCTTACTTAGGCAAACATCCAGAAACAAAATATTGACCATAGTTTGATGGGTAGGGCTTGAATGATACAATGTATGATTATGTACTCAATTTCACAAAATCTCACCTGAAGGATATAGAG